AAAAAAAAAAAAAAAAAAAAAGCGCATATGTGCCACATCCCTCATTTGCGCATGGCGTAGCTAGGCCCTGTATACACACACACCCCTTACACCATAGCTACGACGAGAAGGAGGGGGAGGAGTAGGAGGAGAACTAGAGGAGGACGAGATAGGAGGCAGAGTTCATGATGATGAGTAGGAGTACAGCCGGTTTTTTTGTTTTTTTTTTCCGGACAATATAGGCGATCTGGACCGGAATCCGGACAGGGGATCTGGATCGGTCCGGATATTCCGGGATATTCCGGTTTCCTGGAAGTCCGGAAGGGCCCGGGAGGTCCGGGGTCGGGGGTCCAGGGTCCGGGTTCGGTCCGGCGTAGCTGTGGTTCATTTCCTGTCTTTATATGCCAATGTTCTCCTCCTTTTGATGACGAAAATTGTTGTCACTGAGCTGCCAAGTATGTGACTCATTTACGAGAAACAATGAAAGTGCATTGAAGTTGATTGAACTCAGTGTGACAGAAAACATGGACGCGGACCACACTATGAAAATTAACATTGAAAAGGAAAAACAAAGACATGTTTAAGGCTAGAGACAAAGCTAGGACCCGTCTGGGAAATTTTTAGCACATAATTAGGCTTTGGGTAGGGTGGAAATGCCAAAGAAGCTTGAGGAAGGCATCAGTATCAACAGCCTTGCAATAACCCGTTCATTATGCCTCGTTGAATGGCCAAAGGGCCACAGGCCGCGACCCCGGTTGCAGGCCGTGAGGCCGAAGGGGCAGAAGACCCCTCTGAAATGGCCCAGGGCCTGAGCGCCCGACAGTTGACTTTGGTCAACTGCCTGAGGCCCAAAGTCAAAGTCTTTAGGGATCCAGCCCAGGCCGCCGGTCAGACACACTCACTTGTTTGTATGCAGGTACCAAGACAGCATCAGGACAAGTGAAAGTCTGCAACTGTACACAATCCAGGCCCTCGGCTGTGAGTCAATCTGAGCCAGCATGGGTGGGGGACCTGAGGCCGGTCAGCCTCGTCAAACATTACACAAGGCTTGGTCTCCAGGGAGTCAACATTCAGTCTTGCTATGCTTCCTTGACACTGGCTTGACGCTAGCTGGACGCTTGGCTTGACGCTGGCTCGACGTTGGCTAAGCGCTGACACTGTGGATGACGACACGGGACTGAGGCAGCACGCTGGCGCCTTCTCTGCTGAGTGTCAGCCTATGCTGAGGTGGTGCATGCCACCTGTCTACATTGCTGATGTGGCGTATGCCACCTGTCGACATTGCTGATGTTGCGCATGCCACCTGTCTACATTGCTGATGTGGCGTATGCCACCTGTCGACATTGCTGATGTGGCATTGGCTACGCTGTCTACACTGGGTGATTGATCGCGACAAGGAGGGAGATCGGGATCTGTGGATGATTGATCGAGATCGGGATACTTACCTGAGGTTGACGTCGATACTGTGCGCTGCTGATTGTCTCCATTGTCTTCACGAGAGAATAGTGCCACGTGGCACTTCGATGTGATCAGAACTTGTCAGACTCGTTACTGGGTACTGTTTGCTGACGCGGAGGCGAGGGGAAACCCGGAGAAGGAGTGGGAAATGTTGGGCTATTCTTTTGGTGGTCATTCATGATTACTCTCTCTTCCACCCTCCTATCTCTCTATTCCCCCTCCACTCTCTTCGTCTACTGGTAACGAGTCATTGTATCAGAGGTCACATTCATGATTATTGGAGACATTGTCCAGATCTGAGTTGTCTTGCATTTCGACATTCGACGAGTATGTTCCAGTCTAGGTTCATTACAGCCTTGGCCTATGGGCTGGTTCCCTCGTTGAGCATTGAGCTTTATCGCTGTCTAGGATCTGTGTGGATCTGTGTGAGGGGTGGCAGCCTCATCCTCAGAAACCAACAAAATGTCTTTTGTTTGATTAAGTTTCGAAAACAGAAAACGAAAACTAGCCGTGTACTCATTTTGTGCACGTGAACTTATCTCAATGCCAACTTGTTAGCAGACTTTTTCCATTCTGAAGCTAACGAACTCTCACCTCACGGGATGCGCTACTTCCCGAGGCGACCTCAAATCCTGCCTGGTCATATGTTTGCCTCGTAAAGAACACAGTGCAGCACACCCTTTGTTATCATTAATTATGCAATATAAGTTGGTCATGTCGTATGACATAAGGTGACACGCTGTGCTGACATGTGGCTCATAGAAGGGCTTTTTTGAATCCATGCAAGGTCACTTTGTGCTGTCATTCGAATGCGTTAGGGTATAATCATTCGGTACACCCAGTAATGTGTAGGCGCGAAGCTGATGTGGTCATTCCTGGCCCACGCATGTTAAAAATAGTCTTAGGTCAGGGAATTATTTCGCGTAAATCTGTGCATGAACCAATGCGGACAGGATTAAAAGCGGTGGATAGCCGAACGATTGAAATACAGACCCATGTTCGAATCCAGATATAATCAGATGACCAGAAAAATAAAAAATCATTCTGAATTACCTGGGCCAGGTTAGATCAGTGATGATATCTCAAGGCCGTTGATTCATTCGAGAAGTGCACTTAGTCACAATTTAGTACCAAGGGGCCTAGCTCAGTTGATACACCCACGAGCTGTTGAAATACAGACCCATGTTCGAATCCAGATATAATCAGATGGCCAGAAAAATAAAATATCATTCTGAATTACCTGGGGCCGGTCAGTTCAGTGATGATATCTCAAGGCCGTTGCCCTTTTAAAAAAGTTGATGAGACTCCTTGAACCGCTGCTTGTGATTGATCAAACACTGACAATATTTTGGGTTGTGTTGTGATCCTTCAGGCAATGGTTGATGCGGCAGCATATGTTCCAGCTGAGCCATCGGCAGAGAAGAAGGCACGGATAAAGAAGCTGTAAGTTTTTACATCTTGGTGGAAAAGGGGAAAAGAAAAAAAGAAAACAGAAAAAAAAAAGAGAAAAGATCCTCCATTACACGGCGGTGTCATGGAAGGGAATGCTTCACCGGGACTGGTTCGGTGACAAAACTGAATTGAATCAATAAGTTCATCAATTGTCAGATCAATCTTTTTACTTACGCAGCCTCAACTCCAGCTAAGCAACGGCCTTATCCGGAATACAGGCAGACCAGAATTAGACGATAACCAGAATTAGACGATGTAGCAAAGACACCAAGACAGGACGGACACACAGGCTTTCAGGTCGGAGAGGTCACTTCGCTGCAAAGGGAGGACGCAGTGTAAAAGTCGACAGCCCAGAGGCTGAGAGGAGCAGGCTCGAGGTCAGACACTAGGGTTTAAGGTTTAGGTAAGAACATACAGCTGGGAAGGCTGACTTACGCAGGGGAGTCCAGTTACTTCACTTTCTTCCGGAATAGCATGTAGGGATTTTGAAGCATGGGACACTGGACCCACTTTCCCGTATGAGCCAGAGCTGGGTATTGGCGCCAGCATTCCGGGTTGAGATGTGGAGGGATTCCCAGGGCCAAGTCCCACTGGCATTGCGCCTGTTCTGGTAATGGGGACCTCCCTGTTGTGTGACACTCCTTGCCACCACCGATTTTCATGGATCGTAGGGCAACAAGGCATTCTCTTCATTTTCACGTTGGCTTATTGAGGCAGGCGGTGAACTCGGTGCTTCCCCGTTGGGGCAGTGCACATGTTCACCTTCTTTTGTCTAAGGTGGTCTGTGAGTCCTCCTCTCTGGGGCGGTGCACATCCTGCTAGAGAGGGGGACCGCCAGTCCCATTTCAGATATGGCGGTGATGAACCGAAAACAAAAAGGCAGAGGGCAAAAAAAAGGAAGAAAAAGTTTTTGAGTAAATACCTTGCACGTGTTGAGTCTAGAGTTACGGTAGCAAAACCCTGCATCACCAGATGGCCACGGTCTGTTCGAGAAAGGAAACTCTTCACCATTGGGCCTCGCTGCACTGCTCTGCAAAGGTGGAATTCGACAATGGACTTTCCGCAAGAACATGGAAAGATACACTTCCATATGTTTTGTCTTTTGTGAATGTTGAGCTTAGTGCAGCTGGGCCCATTAATTCATACCCCATACTCGGCGAAGACGGGGGCAGCTTCCTCTGCGCTCTTTTTTTTCCGTCAGGTACTTCATGTGGAAGAACTGTAAGCGTGCTACACAGCTGGAGTATTCTTTTGCCCCACAGAGAAAATAAGGCGGCACAACGATGCATGCCGCGTAGTTCTGAAGACAGGAACAGGACCACCGCTAGTGGGACTTGGCCCCCGGCCTCCTTTTTGTGCATATAATGAAATTTTGCTGTTTCTTAAAATAATAATAATAATAATAATAATAATAATAATAAAATTAATAAATCCTCCATTCTGCACCTGGCACAATGCGTACTGTGTACCGTGTCCCTGAAGGTTCAGAACCTCACTCACTTGGAACATGTTGCAAGGAATGAGCCTCGCGGAGCCCATATCAGACAAACAAGTGTTCTGGACTGTGGCCCCCAGCAAGGCCATCGTGCCCGCCCTAAGTGAAGGCGGGCCTGAATATCCACGTGAGGCCTGTTTTTGACATTTTTTCATATGTGGGTACTCAGACAGCTGCAGCACGCCAGTTGGTTACGGAGCAACGTGAGCTTCCAGGCTCTTTCCAGAAGCAAAGGGCTGCGCTGTACAGTTGGAGCCCAGGGCTCAGGCGGTTGCGCCCTGGGCACACGCTGTGTGAGGCCGACACATCACGAACTGGTTACGGGCCAATGGGAAAGCAGCTTTGTCGTCACACGTGTGCCGCGAGCCAATGAGAATGCTGCAACCACTTGGAGGCTGGGTGGCTGCCTGAACGTGCCTAACTGCACAAGGCCCAGTCCAGTTTCGGAAACTGGGCCTGGGCGCAGACACCTGGAAGCATTTGGGCAAGTTGTCCCGCGTCACTCTGGAAGCCTAGCAAAATAGTGATTGAATTATCATTAAAACTGATGAAATTGATAGCATTCTGGCACCCTATTCTTGCACTTTCTCTGCCTGAGCATGACTGCAGGTTTTTTCATGGGCTGGGTCTGTCATAAACAAAAAGATGCTGGATTGGTCATGAGGTGACCAGCCAAATAGCATAGTCAATGGGGGTGGTGCCAGCATGAGTGGGCAGGTGCTCTATTATCTCACCTTTTTTCTCTGAATGGAGAATGAGAACTTCAGTTGCAGTTTCAGTACCACAGTGGTAATTCTTTTAAGTTTTAACTTTTAAATCGTTTTTCGAATTATCTGAAATCCGCCACATGGGCCCTTTGTTTTCCGTGTCTTTTTTTTTTGCTTTAATGTCGTTCAACTGAATTCAAACTTGGGTCTGTAATGACTCTGTATTTAAAAGTATCTGTGGTGCGTCAACCTGCACGTTGGAATGAGCTACACCTGGGAAATTACCAAAAGTACTCCCTTTTTTCATCATCCTTCTGCCTCTGTTTCTATTTCTATCCATGGTGTGTCCTGTGTGCTCATGTCGGAACCGGTCCAGAATATTTGGGAATATTTGGGAATATTTTGGAATATTTGGGAACATTTTCCTTACTTGTTTCGAACTTCACTCTCAACATTTTGTGCTCAGTTCGTTGTCCTGGCAAAATGCTGCACTGTGCGAATGCTAGTGACGCCTTTGTTTTTTTTGCGCTCAAAATCAACCGATTGGTCCAAGTCATTATCAAATCACGCATAACAGTGAGGCTGGCATGCTTGCGATTCTTGTGAACTTGGTTGATTGCGGAAAGCAAGAAAACTCTGAAAAAGAGTAAACGCCTACTAAAGGGTACCCGTTCTTATTATTTTTTAAATAATGAAATAAGAGTCCGATTCATTGGCTTGGTACGCCGACTTCCTCTGAGCAAAATTGAAAATTCCCTTTCTGTGTTCCCAATTTCCCGGTTGACTTTTGGCTGTCAGTGCAAAGGCGGAAAAGGAGAGGAGGCTGGCCGACAAGAAGAAACGTTCAGCTAAAAAGGCAGATAGGCGCAACAAGGGCAGCTGGGACTAGCTAAGCAGCAGTCAGTCTTTGGAGAAGAAGAATCACATCCCTTCCTGGACGAGGTCTACTACGTCTGTTCCTGCTTGATTGAACCCCAGGTGATTTGGAATGCACTGTAGCGAAAGTTTGTACATTTATGGCCATGTCAAATGCTCTTTAGATTGTTCTGAATACAGCTGTGCTTATGTAAATTACAGCTAGAAAAGTAGCAGCTGCGAGTTCTTTTCTCGTTTGCTTTCCCCCTCACCTTGAAAGTCTTAAGGTTTAAATGCTCCGTACCTGTACTCGACCAAGGTCATGGTTGTCTTCTTTGTCTTGTTCCGACTTTTGTGAATGGTTGTCCCAGAGGATGTCACAGTTTGTTGTCAGCATGGTGCTCTCTCTCTCTCTCTCTCTCTCTCTCTCTCTCTCTCTCTCTCTCTCTCTCTCTCTCTCTCTCTCTCTCTCTCTCTCTNTCTCTCTCTCTCTCTCTCTCTCTCTCTCTCTCTCTCTCTCTCTCTCTCTCTCTCTCTCTCTCTCTCTCTCTCTCTCTCTCTCTCTCTCTGCCTTCTCATGCAGAGGAAGAAGAAAAAGAGGAGGGGAGGGTGAATGGGTAAATGGAGGAGACCCTGGAATTGGAGGGGGGAAAAGGGAGAACAAGGGTAAGGAGAAGGAATAGGGGAACTAGGACTGTGGGAAGGGTTTTGGGACGGGGAAGAAGAGAGAGGGAACAGGAATGGAAATGGAAAATTGAAGTATAGAATCAAAGCAGCTCCATGCTATTCTGAAAATAACGGTGATATGATGATGTGATGAAGATGTTTCACTTGAACATCTAATTTAGTCGTCTTGGTGAAGGCGCAGTGTTGTGATGTGAGCTCAACTTTTAGACAGCATTTCCTGAATACCCTCAGGCAAGTAAAGAGCAGACTCGCACTAAGAATTTCATAAATGTATCTAACCTGAATGACAACCAGATCTAGTTGAAAAGGTCCTAGTGTGAATATGCCCTAAAAGTACTCTGAGTTATAACCATAGTGTGCCAAGATAGGCTTGGTGTTCTGACAAGCTCCAACCCAAACATTCCTAGTCTTGGAAGCATACTTACGGCGCACCTATGTGGTGTGCCGTGCCCCATGCGCACATGGGTGATGCGCATGCACATGTGCACCTTGCGCACTGCGCCCACGTGGTAGGTGCACTGGGGTACGTGCTATTACCCCCAATGTGCACACACAGGGGGATGGGGTGATTTTTCCTTTTTTTGTGTGTGTGATGTGTGTGTGTGACTTTGTCCCCTGTGAGTTGAGATAGCCCGGTTGTTTCATCTTTTCTGTTCTTTCTTTTGTCTTTTCTGTGAAAGGGCAACCACGGAACAAATCATTTATTCTGTTCATCTGGCTTCAATCATGCTAGCACTTTCCAAAATGCATCTGGCTTCAATCACGGCCAGACCTGGATGAATCTGACCGCAATCATGTCCAGAGCGTTCCTGAAAAAGTCCTAGTGCCCTCAGGGTGCCAGGGGAGGACACAATGGCCAGTTTCCGAGATCGAAGAGCGTCGAGGGCACAACGGCCCGACAACCTGACAACGCTTGTATCCATTTGAGAACACTAAGGGCATACTCACACCAGGACTTCTCCTACTCTCTTACATGCTGAGCCTGCACACGGGCCCCGTTTCGGGGGCCCGACGGTTGCTGGCGGCCCCCAGGCCGCACGCCCTTCAGACATGCACCCTGGAGGCCCACTGCCGGCCTTAGGGCGGCAGGATTTGATTTGAGGCAGCATTCTTTCATTTATTTTGTTCTTTATATATTTGCTGTCCTATTTTTGTCTGTTCTGGCATCGTTTCGGACTTGCAGTTCGTCCAAACAGACTTTCGGTCTGTTCGGACAAAGGCCACGTTTTTGGCCTTCTACGTCCGCAGGCAGGCCCTTGTGGGCCGGGTTCGTGTTCGTCCAGTAGCGGACATCCCTGCTGCATCAGCAGTGAGGGTCTGGACGTCCGGTCGGGGCCCAGACCGAGTAGGCCGTTTCAGGCCAGGACCAGGAGTACACCGGCGAGGCCCAGCACTACATATATCTGGGCCAGGCCAGGGCAGGCACACAGTTCAAGTAGCTCACTTCTTGGGCGACATGTTGCTGGAGCAGCGCGACAGCGCTACACTAGAGGTAGAGGTGTAGGTGGCGAAGGAGGTGGAGACCATACCTGCACCGACAGAGCTCCTACCTGGGCGCCATAGCTGGCCCTCTCGCCAGCGACCTGCATACAGAGAGAGAGAGCGACCAGCGGCAGTTAGTAAAGGGCAGCAGTTACCTGCAGGTGAGACAGCGAGGAGGACGACATCTTCTTCGTCGTCGTCGTCTACCCTCCATCTCTTCCTCCTCCCTTCTTCTTCTTCTTCTTCTTCTTCTTCTTCTTCTTCTTCTTCTTCTTCTTCTTCTTCTTCTTCTTTCAGAGAGTGAGAGAGAGAGAGAGAGGTTACAGGCAGAGGTTACATTGGGCATGGAGCCCTGATTCGACATTTTGTGGCAGACATTGATTGGACATTCGGCAGGGAGACTACTTTTGGACTTCGCTATCGCGATGTTGGTCTTCTCCCTCACCTCCATCTTCGTTTCGCCTCTCCCCCATGTCCTCATCCGTGGTATCTCCCCCCATGTGCGTGTTCAAGGAGGGACCTTTCTTCCATGTATGCGGTCCCTCCTCCCTCTCTCACATGTGTGGTGTATGATGGGGTGTCGCATCAGTCTCTGACAGGTCAGGTCATATCTTTGAGTCTTCCTCTGCGCTACGTTGTGCAATTTTCATATGTATCTGGATGTACATTGCTTGTTGATGCTTTGCCGACACTGCATTGTGCATTTGAGTCCTTATCATCACTTTGAGGATCCTTGGCTCGATATACATTGCTCAACTGAGCATGTATCAGTTGGTATCGGCGCACCACGTGTGAATCAGGACTCTAACCTGACCTGACGCACGAAGTGGCAATCAATCGATTGATTGATTGATTGATTGATTGATTGATTGATTGATTGATTGATTGATTGATCGATTGATTGATCGATTGCTTGATTGATTGACTGATTGAGGATTGATTGATTGATTGATTGATTGATTGATCGATTGATCGATTGATTGATCGATTGATCGATTGATTGACTGATTGAGGATTGATTGATTGATTGATTGATTGATTGATTGATTGATTGATTGATTGATTGATTCATCGATTCATCGATTATGAGTGGTTGATTGATTGATCGATTAGGAGAACCTAATTCAATTCCTACTCGCGATTTTCTACCTAACTGCCAAATTCTTGAAATTCAGGAAAAAAAAAATTNCGTGGTATCTCCCCCCATGTGCGTGTTCAAGGAGGGACCTTTCTTCCATGTATGCGGTCCCTCCTCCCTCTCTCACATGTGTGGTGTATGATGGGGTGTCGCATCAGTCTCTGACAGGTCAGGTCATATCTTTGAGTCTTCCTCTGCGCTACGTTGTGCAATTTTCATATGTATCTGGATGTACATTGCTTGTTGATGCTTTGCCGACACTGCATTGTGCATTTGAGTCCTTATCATCACTTTGAGGATCCTTGGCTCGATATACATTGCTCAACTGAGCATGTATCAGTTGGTATCGGCGCACCACGTGTGAATCAGGACTCTAACCTGACCTGACGCACGAAGTGGCAATCAATCGATTGATTGATTGATTGATTGATTGATTGATTGATTGATTGATTGATTGATTGATCGATTGATTGATCGATTGCTTGATTGATTGACTGATTGAGGATTGATTGATTGATTGATTGATTGATTGATCGATTGATCGATTGATTGATCGATTGATCGATTGATTGACTGATTGAGGATTGATTGATTGATTGATTGATTGATTGATTGATTGATTGATTGATTGATTGATTCATCGATTCATCGATTATGAGTGGTTGATTGATTGATCGATTAGGAGAACCTAATTCAATTCCTACTCGCGATTTTCTACCTAACTGCCAAATTCTTGAAATTCAGGAAAAAAAAAATTCTCGGAATTCTTTCTTCGGCATAAATTCGTTTTTTGGCAAAATTGATTGATTGATTGATTGATCGATTCATCGATTATGAGTGTTTGATTGATTGATCGATTAGGAGAACCTAATTCAATTCCTACTCGCGATTTTCTACCTAACTGCCAAATTCTTGAAATTCAGAAAAAAAAATATTTTCTCGGAATTCTTTCTTTGGCATAAATTCGTTTTTTGGCAAAATCCGGAATCGCGCAGTAGCAGAAACTTTTGATTTTCTTCTTTGCTTTTTTTTCGAAATTCCGCTGCTTGATAAGTCCGAAATTTTCTTTTGGAATTCTTCTGTTGCGCTAATTCGTTTTTATAAAATTCTGAATCACGCATTTAATTAGTAGCTGGAAATTTCGATTTTCTTTATTTTTTTGGAATTTCAAATTTTCTGTTACTCTAGGCTACCAGAGTGGCCCGGGTCCACTTGCCCGGCCGGGCCAAAAAGATATTAAAAAAATAAAATAAAAAAATAAAATAAAATTTTATTTTAAATTTTGTAAAGAATTTCGATGTGACCCTGAGGCAAAAGTTGTTCAGTTTATTTTTCTGCATAACATAGTTTTTTTTCGGATTTTTTGGATTTTTTATTTTCTTTTTTGGCTGGGACCTTCCCTGGTTGCGGCCCGGGCGGCCCGGCTGGTAGCCTTGCTGTTACTTTAATATTCCGAAATTTTATTTATTCTCGGAAAATCTCTCTTTACAGTCGAGTTTCGGGATTCTACTTACCAAAATCAGAAATTGCTGCGCTTACTCTCATCTGCATTATTCCGACTTTTTTTTTTTTTTCGGAATTACCTGAACTCGCGAAATTGTTTTTTGCAGGTCAATTATATTTTTTTCTAGGAAGATTCTCACGCCCGGCCGGCCGGGCACCCGGCCGTGACGCCCGGGGGGGGTTGACACTGCGTGCAAAAAAAAAAAGTTTTTTTTTTTTTTTTTTTTTTGTTTGTTTTCTGCACTCTACCAGAGGACTCCAAATCCGGGCTCATTTTTTTTTTTGGGGGTTGGCTGTCAGGGGGGGGGGAGGGGGGTATAAATTGGTTTTAAAGGGGTTAAAGGGGTCTAAAGGGGGGTGCCTCTGTGTGCGCTCTACCAGAGGCTGTCTCTTATACACATCTAGATGTGTATGTTTTAAAGGGGTTAAAGGGGTCTAAAGGGGGGTGCCTCTGTGTGCGCTCTACCAGAGGACTCCAAATCCGGGCTCATTTCGTTTTTTGCGAGTTGGCTGTCAAGGGGGGGGGAGGGGGGTATAAATTGGTTTTAAAGGGGTTAAAGGGGTCTAAAGGGGGGTGCCTCTGTGTGATTCTGTTATTTTCTTTTTTATCTCCGATTCTGTGAGGAATCATAATGTGACTCTCAGCCAAAAGTGGTTTGCATTTCAATCCTTCACAACATATTTTTTTTCCGGAATTTTTTGATTTTTTTTTATTTTTTTTTTTGGGCGCTGGGGCTGCCCGGAACCCTGCCCGGCTGGGCACCCGGGCGTGTGCCCGGGCAGAAGTTGGGTGCCCGGGCGCCCGGGAAAACAGCCTAGATTTTTTTTCGTTTCTCTGATTATATCTGCAGTCTGAAATTCGAAATAATTTTTTATAATTATTTCAATTTTGGGATTTGGAAGACTCGGGAGACCTACCGAACTTGCAATTTCGATTTTTTTTCTATTATTTTTCGATTTTGTTTTTGAAAAAGC